TAGCTTTCCTGTAGACAGTGGCTCATTGAACCATCAGGTCTCTTTTTTATTAGGACATCCAAAAAATTTAGCTTGCCATCTTTTTCGACTTCCATGGTAAATCTGATGGTAGAGGTACGTGGATAACACTTTTGTCATCTGGCCACATGGCCGGCCTGCTCTAGACCAATTCCTCGACCACATCAATTCCATACACCCAGCCATATGATTTACCATGGATGTCGAAAAAGATGGCAAGCTACCTTTTTTGGATGTCCTAATAAAAAAAGAGACCTGATGGTTCAATGAGCCACTCTGTCTACAGGAAAGCTATCCATACAGATGCTTACCTGAAACCGGATTCCCACTACCATCCATCCCAGAAGAATTCCCTCATCAAGACTCTGTACCATAGAGCCCAATGCATATCCGACCAAGAACACATAGCCAGTGACCTCAAGCACGTACACCAAGCTCTTAAGGCTAATGGTTACTCCGACTACACAATCCGCAAAGCTATCACTCCAACCATGAAGGACCCTCTTGAGGAGCCTTTCAAAACCATCACTTTACCCTACATTGTGGGGATCACAAAAAAAGATCTCCAAAATCTTGAATAAACACAAGATCCAGGTCCGATTCAACACATTACATAAAATCCGTGATCTAGTTCCGTCTGTAAAAGATGTGATTCCAGACATACAGTACCCTGGCATCTACAAACTAAGTTGCCTCTGTGGTAGTAGTTACATTGGAGAAACCAAACGACATGTCTCGGACCGCATTCGTGAACACAAAGCAGACCTAAAACACGGTAGGACCAACACCTCGGCCGTGGCAGATCACTGTTATAATTCAGTAGGCTCACATGACATTGACTTCTCCAAGACAAAGGTTCTTTGCAAGCCATCTGGCTACCATGAGAGATTCGTTCATGAGGCTATCCACATATACAAACACAGAGACAATTTCAACCGAGAAGATGGATTCTGGCTTAGCAATCATTTGAAGGATTTGATAAACCATTTCGGGTCTTAATTGATTGTTCACGCTTACGGTGGCTTTCAGACTGCATCCATTATTTTTGTCTCCCCCCTCCTCATTTCCGAACATAGATGGACTCGTCCATCTAAATAACTGCCAAATTGCTCTCCGTGGTGCTAACGTTAAAAAAACGCCACTTTTTTCAAATTTTCTTGCTGTGGTTTTCACACCTGATGATGATTGCTTGTGTTGCAGTCGAAACGTCGTGAGAATTTATTGTTTTATATTTGTATTCTTTTATTGTTTCCCTTCGACGTGACTTTACCGAAAGAACCAAGAATATAATGATGATGCTACAAAGTGTAACGCCAAATAGAGTGATCTTTAAGATAGAAACAGGATTTCTCCAAAATTCTGGCCATTGCCCAAAAATGCCGATAGCGCAAGTGAACTTTGTACCGTTTAGAATGAGAAACGAAGGCAATCGATGCCTTCGTGAGTGAAATTCCACTTTAAAAACGGTGACCAGTTTAACAGTTACAATTTGATATCCCCGGTGATGACGTGCGATGAGGCTGGTTGTTGTTAATCGCCAGCGAAACGTCGTTAATTCAAATTGTAAATGTTGTTGTGGATGCATGCATCGGGCCGTGTGTTCCAGTGGAGTAGCTCCAACAATATTTTTCCCTTTTTGTTATTTGCGAACTTTCCGTAACCGTGGTGGCTTTTGTTTCTCTCGTTTATTCTGAGCCCCACTACGCAGCCTACATTGTGAGGTTCTTCAATCGTGGCCTGTATTTCGTTGTCGATGTAATGTTTTTAATGGTGAGATTTAAAAACAGCTTTTAATCTAAAAATGAACACGACACAAAACTTCCCACAACAGCAAACCCTGTTTTTGTATATTACCGTGCGCTACAAGGCAAAGAGAACAATTACGGAGCTAATTTTATAAACAAAATAGCATTTCTGAACAATCAGGCAGCAGAGGGTTTTTTTTGTGGTTGAGCTGCAACGCTCCCCTGGGAACGAGAGCCGAAGGCTGTGACAGCGCCGGCACGCGTGGCCCCCGGCACACGTGGCCCCGGCGCGCGTGGCCCCCCGGCACGCGTGGCCCCCGGCACGCGTGGCCCCGGCGCGCGTGGCCCCCGGCGCGCGTGGCCCCCGGCGCGCGTGGCCCCCGGCGCGCGTGGCCCAGCACGTCCGGACTTTGCGTGGTATTTCATCGTGAGCATTTCTCCATTACCGCGGAATCTTTGACTGGTCGGCACACTATGGCCAAGGAAAAAAGAAAAGAGCCAATTCATGATCACGGTTCCCAAATCCAGCAGGGTGCCCTGGTTATTCCTGCGGGCGTGGCAAGCGGTAAAAGTACGTGCCGTCGTCTTCGCGGTGGAGTTCGTTACGCGTCCCACGACGTTCCAAAAAAAACGAGTTGGCTATTGTGTGCCGGAGTCCGTTCCAAATTTATCAATTACAAAGATTACACTGAAGAAAATTACTCAACTAGGGATCACACACAGCAGCAGCAATCGCCCCATACTGCAAAACCACTGCCGACATGCGAAACACAGAAGCACCTTCCCCTGCGATACCATATGCACCAAAGTTAATGATAAACTTACACTAACGATTACGCAAATCTTTCTCCACTTAAAATAACGCATCGACCTTGGAGAGCAAGTGTATAGTGCGTTGATCGAAGAGGCAGAGGTGATAAATTGTGGTTGTGTCCACAGAAACGGGATAGATAATACCTGGATTTGATGGTGGCAATGGGACTGGCAATAACCATGCAAGGGCCACCTTCATTTCATGCCATCTGTACCATTAATATGAAGGAAATACAATTAAATGCACCAAGGATACAGCACTATGCACAAAATAACCCTTCTGATATTAGTTTGGCGGGTAACAATGATTGCGTTTGATTACATTGGCAGAGCCACAAGCATTTTAAAATTCACTCAATTGTGATTACGTTTGATTTGCTCGAATCTAAATCCCGTTAAGAATTCCTAATTCATAGAATACATAATTCATAGGTTGACAATTCCTGTCCGTCTCATATGTCCTGTCTCGTTTTTTATTGTTTCACTTATATTGTCCGTCTTTCTTTATAGTGTCCATCTCATTCGTACCGTCGGTGTACCTGGTCTCGTCCACTCCTTCTGTACCATCTGTTGTGTTGGTGCCATCTCATTGGAATGCTCGGTCTCGTTTGTACCATCATAGATTGTCCAACTCGTTTGTATCGTCTCATTTGTACTGTCCATCTCGTTTGTACCGCTGCGTTTGTTTCATGAGCCGAAAGTCACTGAGCGTACGCGTATAGCGCACAAATATAACCTGGATTAGTTGTCCACAATCTACTTAGACGCACGAATCAATGCAAGCATCACAACCATTAGAATCAATTTCAATGATTGAATGCACCATGACATGCCAAATGTTTATGTTAGAAATTTCTCAATAATTTGACATCTGACATTAAATAATCCTTTGCCATTTCTCTCGAAGGTGGGAAAATATTTATATTTATGTAAGTTTCAGTTTCCCCGCAAGCAAAACAGAATCTGGGCTAAAGGTCCGAGAAGTGAGCCGAGACCCACTGACTGACATTGCATGACGATTACACTCGAGATTGACCCTCCGACTATGTACGTCATAAAAAAGCAAAAGTGGTTGCCTGGATAAATGCACATTGAGGCTTCCGGTGCGCACCTCCTAGTCACAGCACAGCGATGCACATTCCATATTCATATGGCAAGGGCCAGTCTATAGGGAAACCAGAACTATATCTATTCTTAGCTCTTTCGGTAAAGTCACGTTGAAGGGAAACAATAAAATAATAAAATATATAAAAAACAATCAAAATTCTCACGACGTTTCGACCATAACACAAACGGTCGTCATCAGGTGTGGAAAAAAAAAACCTGATGACGACCGTTTGTGTTATGGTCGAAACGTCGTGAGAATTTTGATTGTTTTATATATTTTTTATTATTTTATTGTTTCCCTTCAACGTGACTTTACCGAAAGAGCTAAGAATATGAAACCAGAACTGTTTTGCTCTTTCCCACAAAGTGGTTGAGCATTTTAACCACCCCCAGGAGGGCAGGGATGATTTGCCAAATCAACAGCCAACCATGATTTGAACTCACAGACCTTCTGATTGGGAGCCCCTGGCTCCACCACTGGGCCACCCCGGTCGGATTGAAGCGAACAACTCGGCGCTCTGAAGGGAATGAGCGAATCATAGACATTCACACTTTACACAATTAGAATGTGAATTGTCCTTCAAAATTAGCCACGGTGACTGTTGCACACACCCCAGCAAGCAAATTTGTCATCACGATTTGCAATCACGGTTACATTTAGGGAGCGACATTTCTTCTCGGTCTTTTACACACTGTCGCTCGTATAGTTTTTTCCGATTTGCGCTCCGTCCGCTTGAAACCGTTCCACTTGCTACGAGACCCTAAATGTGACACGACAGCAACTTCTCATCGAGCATTTCACTTCCATACACTGTCGCTAAGAATGTGATTTTGTCACAAGTGGGGGAGGGGTGGTTATTTTCATAAAATTCCACGGCTAAGCTGCAGGAAAAACTAAATTGTTCCCGGAAAAATGGGAAAGGTGCCTTGCTTAAAAAAAGAAAAAAAATCAATTTGTATAAATATATATCAAGTCAAAAAAATTACATAACTGTTTCAAAGTTACGTTGAAGGGAAACAATAAAATAATAAAATATATAAAACAATAAAAATTCTCACGACGTTTCGACCATAACACAAACGGTCGTCATCAGGTCGAAACGTCGTGATAATTTTTATTGTTTTATATATATTTTATTATTTTATTGTTTCCCTTCAACGTGACTTTACCGAAAGAGCTAAGAATATGAATTACTGCAGTCACGAAAGCTTTAAATCAAAATGTTTAAAAGTTCAACCATTTTAAACCAAGTGGCTTATTTGTTATGGTTTTATCGATTTAATAGAATTGAAAGTTCGAGTTAGCTCGCCTTTATATTTTTTTAACGGTTGCTGAACAAACGTCCAAAACATAAACTCAGTCGGCAACAAACAGTACTATTTTATCAGAGTTGTAAAGGAGTAAAGAATGCAACGCTTTTTTTTGCATTGAGCCAAGGTCGTTATTGTGGGAGCTTGTGGGGGGACAGAGACGACGGTGGTGACGGGAGAGGGAATTTCAACAGTGGAGCAGTGGGAGGGAAGACGCGGAGAGAAGTGAGGTAGACCTGTAGTGTGGCGAGTGAATGATTGGGCGAGTGGTTGAGTGGGTGGGTGATGGTTGAGTGGGTGGGTGGGTGAGTGTGTGAGTGGTTGAGTGACATTCCCCTACCAGGGACAGCACTAGCCGCCTCCACCCCCACACCCCCTCCCATCGCAACCATGGCAGCACCGGTACCAGTTTCAGCTCCGTGAAGTTGCAGAATTTCTGAGAAGAATGAAGCACCCAAATCTACTGAGCTTCTGCAGCCATGAAACCATTTCACTTAATTTTACGATTTCCATTACCAGCAGTGACCTCCAACACCTCTGTGATAAAATCGTAACCTCAGCACACGAATCGATGCGTACGTCATGAAAAGTAAGACGTTATGTTAATCGAGTAAAGCATGTTCGAATACCTCGTTATAATTGAATTGTGCTAATGTAGGCCCCCCAACGACTACGTGAATACCCATGTGCGCAAGCTGGACTGTGGTCAGGTGGTGGGTTAATGCGGGGTTCTCGTTCGATGACGGGCAATTTTGGCATCGAAGCTAGCGCTTTTACAGACCTGCAACAACAAAAACATTGGGATAACATTAAATTCACAGACCTCGGCAACATACGGTATTTTAAACATGTTCAACAGAACTGTCGCAATTGTGGTAGATGCTCACGGTTCCAATCCCGTGGGCTGCCCCTGGTTAATACTGATGGTGCATGGACAGTAGAACACGACGTGAGCATCAGTCACAGCTCCCGGGGATTCGCTCGCGAGAGCGAAGCCATTGTGTGCCCACGTCACTGTTCAAATTTGACACATTTTTTTAATTACGCAGAAAATTACTTAAATTGGCACAACACACGCTAAAATCGCCCCCCCTAACTGCAAAAACGACTGCAGACTGTCTGTAAAACACAGTAGTGTGGTCCGTCGGTTTACAATGCCATCGATTCACAATAATTTCAATGAACGATGGTTTTTGTGGAACCAATTAATATCGTTGACTGAAGGACGACTGTAGTGCCTTCCTTCACAATAGCCCTTGCTGCGAGAGTGACGCGAATACCAGAGTCGCTAAACCGTTATTGTGCCGTGTCACACGGTATGTGCGCAGCATCGCCATTGTCACGGCTGCCCCCTCCAGACACTCACCCATCTTCTTCTTGTAGCACGTGTCACAATGGACCTTCTTGGCCACGATCCGCAGCTTGTGACCATCACCCACGTGGCCAAGGGAACAGCTGCAGCTGGCGCACTGATTGACCAATCGGAGCCGAGGAGGTGGGAATGATATGGATAGGGGAATAAAAAAAGAAATAATTAGGAGCATAAATACGATGGTCCCTCAGTTAACGATATTGATTTGGTTTCATAAAAAAACATTACTCATTGACATTATCGTTAATCGAATATAGAAAAACATGTTACGGGCTTAATTTGTTCCAAGACAATCGGAAGTCGCCTTAAAAACATTGTTTATAACGTTATAAGAACATATTAAAGCGTTAATATTAGTAGAAACATGGATAAATAGTAAATAAATAGAGCATAAAAAGGTGCATGAATAGAACATAAAATATAAAATATTATCTTAAGTTAAGAAGATGGATGGCTTAAGTATTCAAGAGAGCTGATTCCATAAGCAACGCATAAAGCATTGAAGAGCTAGCAGCCAGTTGCTCTCAAAACACCCACAAGAGGGCGTCGCTGATAGGCTGAGGTATGCTGCAGAGTCCATTTAGGAACGCTCTGATTGGCCAAAATTGCCGGCCGTGTAATATTGTAAACACATCGTTCAGTGAAAATGTATCGTTAAAAGAAACAATGGGACCCTTTGGGAGGCAGACCGTGAATCGAAATATCTAATCGATGGTATCGTAAACCAAGGGATCCACTGTATATCAAAATAAATAAGCAGACAAGTCTCCTTCCTGCAGTTGTGCCTCTGCATGAGGGTACTTTGACACATCCTTACAGCCACATGGCCTTCTGGGAGTGCATTTTTTCAGCAGCATTGGTTCAGCTGGAACATAACTCTGGTTTTGATATGTTCTTGCCTTAAAATAACTGGTTGTTCACTAGCAACGGTTTGGGCAAGCCTGACTGCTGATGAGACACTGAATGTCGAAACTGGTCCAGTTTGCCCGTGTTGAACCAATGTTGCCGAGAAAAAGACAACTCACTTTACGTCGAAGGTCATGTGATTAAATGCAATGCCCAGTTTTGGAATACAACAGGAGGTACGGTGAACCGGTTCTGGCACCAGTCATCATGAGGGGTGGACAGACCTCCACCTCTGGTAAGAAAACAACCCAACAACAGGGAGTGGCGTTGCTTTTCAACAAAATAATGAAAGGGGGGCATGGAAGCGTAGCAGTGAGGTGCGGAAAGCTGCGAGTCCCGGCTACTGTGGGCTTGCCTCCCAATCAGCAGGAGTTGAGGAATGGGGGTTAGTGGTGGCTTGTGCCCCAACTGAAGATGAGCATCAGTGAAGGGATGCAGGCAAGGTCTCATGAGTCAGATGCCTTCTGTGACCGCCTGTCCCAGGTGCTTGCTAAACTGGCCCCTTGGGATAGAGTCATCCTGTTGAGTGATGTTAATGCTTGAGTGGGTCATAATACAGGCACCTGGGCTGGCATGATTGAAAGGCATGGGTCAGATCAGCCCAATAGTGCTAGGAGGCTGCTAGATCTGTGCAGGCAATGGGCTTGTAATCACCAACATGCCGTTCCGGCATCGGCACATCCACGCAACATCATTGATGCATGCCAGGTCCAAGCGAGAACATCTGCTGAACTACATAGCGATGGAACAGCGATATGCAGGCCCATGTCCTTGACAATGGGACCGACCTTGGAGCCGATCTGCCCAATGACCATTGGCTTGACATCTGTAAGATGCACCTGCGATTCTTTCTACTCCGGTGGTGGGTGCAAGTGAGAATTTCACCATTACTTGTAGCTGGAGTTAGTATCGCCCCCCCCCCCCCCACCTCCAGATGCCAAGAGGAAAAAAATTGGTTCAGGACTGTGGCTCATGCAGTTGTTATGACTGCATTGGGAATGTAGTCGAGACCTCCACAGAAACCATGACTAATAGAAGTGGTGTTCCGGCGAGCCGATAGAAAGTGACGGGCCCATTCCCACCATCTGCAACATTCCATGTCTAAAAATTAGCAGGCTTACCTGCAACCTTCACTCGGAGTTTCAGGAAGCTGCACGGTGTTGCAAGAATGAGCGAGTTGGAAACTGCCTCAGTAGCTCGTGATCACAAAGCACTCTTTAATTCCATCAAAAAATGTTACTTGTAGTGCCACACCTATAACTGTCCTTCAAGGAACGAGTGGTGTTGATGCGAGTCTGTAAATGTCTGTGTATGCGAGTGTTGATGTGAGTGTTGTCCGTGTGTCTGTGAGAGCAAGTATTGATGCGAGTCGTTGTGTTTGTGCCCATGTGATGGTGCCCGTGTGTGTGTCCCTGTGTGTTAGTCTCTGTGTGTTAGTGCCTCTGAGTGTTGCCTGCAAGCACCTTGAAGCACTCCTCGTGGTAGTAGAGGCCCAGGTACTCGAGGATGAAGGCCGTGCGCTTCCCGAGCGACGAGCCGCAACGCGAGCACTTCCGCCAGGCGTTGCTCCTGGTGCCCCAAAACCACACGGGGATAAAGACAAAGATAAAGGTGTCCCCACCCACGTAACCTCCCCAGACTGTTTGCGAGGTGGCCATCCTCGTTGCCGAACTTCCTTGTCGATCAATCTACTTAAGCCACCGATTGGCCCAGCTCCAATTGTGCGTTAAGTTTTGATAAATAAGAACAAACGGCCAAACCCTTTATGGCAATAACACAGGTGGTGTTTTCAGATGTTTCAAGTCGATATTAACCACACATCATGCTCATGGTAAAACATGCAAACAAACGCGCTTTCATAATAACGTAATGCATTGTCATGAAAACCGATTGGCCTACAGCAAGGCTGCAGCCTCCTCTATGGCTGCGTCTCACCACCGGTGTTAGACCACCAGTGAACAATCCTAAAACGCGAACGGCATAGAGGCAAAGCAAATATCAAAGTGTTAATAGCTCGGGAATTGAATAGTTATATCTTCTTGGCCAGTATCAAAGTGATGATAAAAAAAAGAATCGGCAATAACACAGGAGGGTGTTAACATGTTCCATCGGTTTCAAAGATCGGTCTCAAAGACAATGCGTTACAATTATCAGAGCGAATTCGTTTGCATGTTACACCACAAAGCATGATGATGTGTGTGGTTAATGCAGACTTGATGATGCCTTGCAAAAGGCACGTGTCTATTTGGCGTTTGAAACATCCAAAAACACCTCGTGTGTATTATTGCCCGCAAGGGTAGAGATTGTCTTTAGGAGTGCCTCGGTGGGCTTCATTACCAGGCGTTGTCCTTGGGCTTCCCTGACTGCTCGCCGACATCCTGAGCTCTGAAAGGAAAGCACAACACCTTTGCTGATCTCGTAACCTGTCGTCACATGAACTCCGGTCATCATCCTTGCAGCAGCAGCGGCTTTTGGCTCAGCCGTCGAACAAAAGACGGTCGTCACCACATCGCGCGGCGTTTTCGGATACGCTTCTGTGGCCCGACTGGAACGCGCTTACTTCCTATATTTGGAAGCCAGTGGGAGACTGTGCACTTTTAAATCATCTAGATTTACAAACTAATTTCTTTAAAATTGCTTTTTGTGTTTAGTTTGTTGTCCTTCCCCCTGCACCTCCAATTAGCACGATTGACTATGTACAGTCCAAAATAAGCTCAACATACATAGTCCAACATACAAATCAGCTGCTAAATTAACCAGCCACATTTGCTGCTCAAATGTTACACTTATAAACCCAAATACTGCGAGCAGAACACGATTTTATTAATAATATTGACTTAAAGCTTTCGTGACTGCAGGAATTAATATTCTTTGGGTCTTTCGGTAAAGTCACGTAGATAGGTTTAAGGAAAATAACAAAAAACTATGACGTTTCGATCACAACACAAGTGGTCGTCATCAGGTGGAGAAGAAAGAGGGGTTAGTCTCTAAAGGCAAACCCTTGATAAAAGGTATAAAATAGGCATAGCCCAAGTGTCAGAATGGAGTGGGCGGGGCACAAGGAGCCTGGGGCAGCATGGGCAGAGGAGCTTATGTTAATGTCAGGGATTAAAAACGGTAGGCTGCCCACATGTAGGGCGGAGAAGGTTATGTTAATGTGATGGGGGGGTTATCAACAAGCCATCCATATATACAGACAGACAATTTTAACCGAGAAGATAGGTACAAACTGATCAATCACTGCAAGGACGTTATCAACCAGTTTAAGTCATAACTGGCTGTAATGTTGCCATTTCAGCACTGTCCATTGCTCACCAGTTTTTGTAACCCCCAAGGAAACCCAGAGCAGAACAGGGGAGAGAATACAAACTCCCGAGTCGGGAATAGAACCCAGTTCTTTTCACCGTGAGGTGCAATTTTTACCACTGTGCCACGACCCTCCCCCACCCAACGCGATGTTCTTTTGTTTGTTGCAGTCGTTGGCTGCCAGACTGAGACCATCAACAAATTCCCCATGACAACAGCGTTGAATCACAGCTCAGCCCACGTGAGCCTCTCGGCCCTTGCGTGCGAGGGCATGTGTACCTTTGTGAATCTATCCTTCTCTTTGTGAGTCAATGGGTCTCTATGCAGGTTTGTGCAGCTCTATAGATGTCCATGTAAGTCTGTAGGGACTTTGTAAAGGGAAAGACACTCATGGATGCCCAGTTTAACCACCCCCTAGGCTCTACGCAAGTCTACGGGGTCTCTATATTTGAGTCTGTGGGTCCTCTAATATATAAAGTATATGGGTCTGTGTGAAAGTCAATGGTGGCCAGGCTGAGACCATCAACTCATTGCTCTTGAGAATCCAGTGGCTTAAACCTGGATACGAACTCAGCATCTCAGCATTTCTGACCTCGGAGCTGCTTGGGTCGCCACTGACCAACATAATGGAAATTGTTTCTCGACAAAACACCTGATTTTCCGAGTCGGTATCCGGCCGAGTTGTGACCGCACACTTGACCCCCCCCCCTTCATCATAGCAAGCCTCGCTCGCCAACCGCCAGGTCGATGTTAAATAGCAGCAAAAGGCGCAGCTCCTGCCACCGCTCGATCGCTCGTGCCACTGCTCGATCGCTCGTGCCACTGCTGGCAGAAGCGGCCTTCACTTGAGGGAGCTCTGGAAGTAGAATTTTAGTCTACGGTAGAACCCCTCTTAACGGCCACCCCTGTTAACGACGAATCACTTAACTATGGGCCCTCCATAGAGCCCAATGTGTAGTGTATAGTAGTGTAGTGTATAGTAGTGTAGTGTATAGTATAGTAGTGTAGTGCCTCCATAGAGCCCAATATGTTCGCTTACTGACCATTCCCATGTTAATGATGGGCTGTTGTAGGTACAGTAAATATGAATGAATGCATTGATTAACCGTGTTTATTTTAATATTGTGTTTATAATGTTATTAGCATCTTTATGTATTAATATCCATTGTTTAAATATTATAATGTACGTTTTTTGAGTGAAAAATGGTAACTTTTGATGCTATCGGAACGAATTAAGCCTTTAACGTGTATTTCCTATAATCACTTAACGACTAAATCACTTAACGACCGGTTTCGTGGAACCAATTGCCGTCGTTAAGAGGGGTTCTCCTGGACTCTCGCACACCAGCCAGACGTTTCTGGAAAGGGGTTGTGAGTCCCCACACTTTACCCCACCACATGCAGCCAGCCCGATCGACTGCAGTGTACCTTTCGATTTAAAGCTTTCGTGACTGCAATGATGCATCTTCTTTGGTTCTTTCGGTAAAGTCACGTAGAATGATAATAAAATAATAAATTGATAAAATAAAATAACACAATAATATTCTCACGACGTTTCGGCCACAACACAAGCGGCCTTCATCAGGTGAAGGGGGCGAGACTGTCTGGTAGGACAGCGCTGGAGTGAGAGAGCCACGTTCAGATCACACAGCTTAAAAGCCGTGATCTGAACGTGGCTCTCTCACTCCAGCGCTGTCCTACCAGACAGTCTCGCCCCCTTCACCTGATGAAGGCCGCTTGTGTTGTGGCCGAAACGTCGTGAGAATATTATTGTGTTATTTTATTTTATCAATTTATTATTTTGTTCTCATTCTACGTGACTTTACCGAAAGAACCAAAGAAGATGCAGTGTACCTATTTTGCGATGCTGGGTGGACACGGGGGAAAGGGGGGGGGGTTAACAAGGACAACTTTTCCCACTCCCCACACACTGCCATGCCGGGGAAATGAGCGTGATATTAGTCACCTTGTATGCGTCGACCGCCTCACTGGAGCTCTGATAGCGGAGTTTACACCAGGTGTTTACACCTGGTGTTTAAACCTGGTGTTTACACCTGGTGTTTACACCTGGTGTTTAAATCTGAAGTTTACACCTGGTGTTTACACCTGGTGTTTAAACCTGAAGTTTACACCTGGTGATTAAACCTGGAGTTTACACCTGGTGTTTACACCTGGCGTTTACACCTGGTGTTTAAATCTGAAGTTTACACCTGGTGTTTACACCTGGTGTTTACACCTGAAGTTTACACCTGGTGATTAAACCTGGAGTTTACACCTGGAGTTTACACCTGGTGTTTACACCTGGTGTTTAAACCTGAAGTTTACACCTGGTGTTTAAACCTGGAGTTTACACCTGGAGTTTACACCTGGTGTTTACACCTGGTGTTTACACCTGGTGTTTAAACCTGAAGTTTACACCTGGTGTTTAAACCTGAAGTTTACACCTGGTGTTTACACCTGGTGTTTACACCTGGTGTTTAAACCTGAAGTTTACACCTGGTGTTTAAATCTGAAGTTTACACCTGGTGTTTACACCTGGTGTTTAAATCTGAAGTTTACACCTGGTGTTTACACCTGAAGTTTACACCTGGTGTTTAAACCTGGAGTTTACACTCCAGTCCAGTTCTGCGTGTATCTCTCTCCCAGCAGGGGAAGGGAAGGCAGTGGGGAGTCTACGAGCCAGAATCGAAGAGCTACATCGAGTTGCTCTGGCAGAATTGGTATGGGGGGGGGGGGGGGCGTCTCCCCACACGGCACCAGACCTCTCTGGTACCTCTCTGGTTCCTCTCTGGTACCTCTCTGGTTCCTCTCCGACTGGCGTCCACCACGACCACCACGACCACCACGCGAGTGAGCGGCACGTGGCCCCGACGCAGTGAGGAGCTGCTGCGTCTTACCCATGAGCCGGAGGCGTCGCCGATGACGATGACAGGACGCTGGTGCTCCTCTTCTGGATGACCACATCGGCATCGGGGCTGCATCACAACACACAGAGGGAGGTGGGGAGGGAAGGGAGGGAGGCAGGACAGGGGAGGGGGAGGTGGGGAAAGAGGAGGCAGGCAGGGGAGAGGAGGGAAGGAGTTGTGTGGTCAGTACCATGAAGATGTAAACCCCCTCTCGTGCTGCCCTCTAAAGGAGGTCGCTCCACCTCAAAAAATGGCGTGAGTGCACGTGAACTTTTTCCCGTTTAAAATGAGAAACGAAAGCATCCGGTGCCTTCGTGATTAAAATTCCACTTCAGAAACGGCAACCGGTTTAATGGTTTATGACGTGCAATGAGGCTGGTTGTTGTTGTTAATCGCCATAGAAACGTCGTTAACTCAAATTGGATATGTTGTTGTGGGTTTACTCTCCAACACACCGGTGTGCTGAAGCAGTAACGAATTGGCACGTTTTGTTCACGTGACAAACCGTACTAGTTGGTTGTGTCGGGTGGAGGTGGATTTACGACAATTAAATTTACGCGAGCTAACCCAAAATACTTTCCGATTCATAATATTGGTTGCGAAAGCCCACGAGTTTAATGAACGTGTGTACATGTAACTACTATGTATGTATATATAACTTCTTTTGCACCGTGCGTAGCCAACCACGTTAAGCGGAGGTGCGGGGGGGGGGGGACCACAAACTAAATACAAACACAGTCCTAAATACAGCTTTGAGTTGAGACTGAGACTCATCTCCACTCTAATCTCTTGCTGCTGCTGCCACCTCCGTCATCTCGCCGATCTGAGCCTCTTCACGATGTCTCGCGAGCCGATTCTCCCAGCCACTCCAACAGGCTCCTCGGGCCCCACGTGACACCCCATGTGAGACCCCATGTGACCCCCCCCGCGCCCCCTCGTGATCCCCAAGTCGAACTGCCCCCGTGGTGTTACTGCAGTGCAGTGGGCAGCAGTGTCCGTCAACTCGCCAGACACAGCGGCCCGCGCCTGTGTCCCAGCGGCTTGTATTGTACAAAGGTGGAGGAGCGGCGGTGTACTTGTTAGCGCTACGTTGCGCTATGACCCCGGAAACTTGAGCTTGATTCCCACTCATGCCCAACGCCGGTGACGACTATCTGAACTGGTCATGGGCCTCCCCTACTTCGACTTAGCCTCAAATGAGTATGCGGTGCGGTGGTGTAGACATCGCCACTAGGGAGACAAAGGCGGCCGGGCGTGGTGTTGACCACCCACCCCCATTGTGTGCCGTGCCGGCCTTCATAGGTGCTATTCGCTAACAGCACTTGTCCCCAACAGTCTGTTACAGGCTATACAGGGGGTCTTTGTCATTGTCTTTATTGTACCTTGAATTTCTTTCGCACCATACGTAGCCAAACCATTGCCAATAGTAGGCGAGAGAGGTGGCGGATGGTGGGGACATTCGAGCAACCCTCGACAACCCAACAAGCTACGGTGTGGCGGTACAGCAAGAGGGATGGATTCTGAACGATTCAGGAAGTGAATTTGGCGTTGGGTGTTTCGATGCCCCTCGAGCCGTGAGAGGTCATCCCACCGGCTGAATCGCTGTCCATCGCTCTCCTCATCCAGACCGATCAGCTTGTCTCTGATCCTCTGATGAGCACGGTTGGCTATGTACGGTGTGAACGAAGTACAACATATAGACTCTCGATTATCCGCGCTAATGACGGGGAGGACGGCCACAGATAATTAAAAATCGCAGATGGTCCATAAATAAACATTTTCTGCGGATCTCTGCCAAAAAGCACTCATTTAGGTATAAATTATGTTTAAGTCAAGAAAATTGAGTTTGTTAACAAACAAAACAAAATTGTAATAAAGAATGTATTGATCTTGTTTTATTTAAAAAGTCCAGAAGACTCGACCCACTCAGTGGATGACAGCAGAGCCACGCCAATTAACATCAATCAAACTCCACCCAATGTTGTAAATATATGCAACTACTGTACTGTAGGGGTGATCACATGGATTTCCGAGAATAACAACGAACAACTATTCTTAGATTATTAATTTGGGGCTTAAGGGAAATTTCATGAGTTATTAATTTACGTCAAAATCTTTGGTGCACGGCTAATCCGCAAAGCGGATAAACGAGAGTCGACTGTACATCCATGTCTGGGAAGAGGTGGGCTGACTCACACTTCACCCCACCACACACAGCCGACTGTGGTGTGCCAATTTACACTGCTGGGTGGAGAGAGGTGGTGGGAGGATTTAGGAACCTTACACCATCGTTCAGTTCGATACGGTGACCTCTGGGGTGGCAAGGCCAGTGTGGTAGCCCCTCCGCTGCCATCGCATCTCATCATCTACCCCCCCCCCTCCAGACCAAATGACTGACAAAACCAGTTTGTGTTGCCGTGGGCTGCAGTAAATGGAATAAAGTATAATAATAATAGTAATGGTGATTATGAATCAAATCCTCAGCGCGTCGAGACATGTTCCATAGATTTATGGGGAACACGCTGCCCCCCCCCCCCCAAGCACTGCAAAATCACGACCAACCGATTTTGGCTTTGTCCACGATCGTGAATCACAAGCCAATTAAACGAGCCAGGGCCACGAGTTATGCACATTGGTGGCCCTGTGATGGAAATTCCACATTGCCGTGGCAGGGGACCGAGGAGATCTATCAGAGGTAGACCCGAGCAACTTCCCAATGGGGAGTACGGAGAGGGGTCCAGAAAAGCTCTTAGCCCAGGGCCCTGCGTTGATAAACGTGCCACGCCACCTCGCAAAGTCATTCCTGTGGTTAAGCATCAACAACCTGCCACTTTTCCTGGTCTCGAGGGCGGACGGAGCAACTGCCACCTATAAGCAGAGAAACACAACTTTCTTTTTTAACATCATCAGAATCAGAATAATTAGACTGGAGGAATCCGATGAGCTATGAAGCTCTATTTTTGATCACAAACGTCCCACATTGGATTACCCATGGAAGCCTCACTGGGTCTCAATGCTCGCTCTCACGAGGGGCGGCTGCCAACTTTCACAGACGTGGGCGATGTCCCTGCTGCACGTGATCCTAATTGAGTAATTGTCAGGTATTCGTTTTTTTTCAATGGGATATTTGACCAATACTCGTTAGGTTTTTTGTATTCTTCAGCTATGGGTGGAAACCGGAGAAGCCGGAGGAAACCCATACAGGACAAGGGGAGAACATACAAACTCCACCAACTCACACACTCTGCAGGACAGGGGGAGAATACACAAACTCCACACACACTCACTCTGTAGGACAGGGGGAGAACACACAAACTCCACACACACTCACTCTGTAGGACAGGGGGAGAACACACAAACCCCACACACTCACTCACTCACTCTGTAGGACAGGGGTAGAACACACAAATTCCACACACACACCGTAGGACAGGGGTAGAACACACAAACTCCACACACACACACTCACTCTGTAGGACAGGGGTAGAACATACAAACTCCACACACTCACTCTGTAGGACAGGGGTAGAACACACAAACTCCACACACTCACACACTCTGCAGGACAGGGGGAGAACACACAAACGCCACACACTCACTCTGTAGGACAGGGGTAGAACATACAAACTCCACTCACTCACTCAGTAGGACAGGGGGAGAACACACAAACTCCACACACTCAGTAGGACAGGGGGAGAACACACAAACTCCACACACACACTCTGTAGGACAGGGGGAGAACACACAAACTCCACACACACACACTCACTCTGTAGGACAGAGGGAGAACACACAAACTCCACACACTCACTCACTCACTCTGTAGGACAGGGGTAGAACATACAAACTCCACACACTCACTCACTCTGTAGGACAGGGGTAGAACATACAAACTCCACACACTCACTCTGCAGGACAGGGGTAGAACATACAAACTCCACACACTCACTCTGTAGGACAGGGGGAGAACACACAAACTCCACACACACACACACTCACACACTCTGTAGGACAGGGGTGAAACACAAACTCCACACACACACTCACTCTGTAGGACAGGGGGAGAACACACAAACTCCACACACTCACTCTGTAGGACAGGGGTAGAACATACAAACTCCACACACTCACTCACTCTGCAGGACAGAGGTAGAACACACAAACTCCACACACTCACTCACTCTGTAAAACAGGGGTGAAACACAAACTCCACACACACGCACATTAACTCTGTAGGACAGGGGTAGAACACACACACTCCACACACACACTCACTCTGTAGGACAGGGGTGAAACACAAACTCCACACACACACTCACTCAGTAGGACAGGGGGAGAACACACAAACTCCACACACACACACTGTAGGACAGGGGTAGAACACACAAACTCCACACACACACACTGTAGGACAGGGGTAGAACACACAAACTCCACACACACTCACTCACTCTGTAGGACAGGGGTAGAACACACAAACTCCACACACACACTCACTCTGTAGGACAGGGGTAGAACACACAAACTCCACACACACACTGTAGGACAGGGGGAGAATACACAAACTCCACACACACACACTGTAGGACAGGGGGAGAATACACAAACTCCACACACACACTCACTCTGTAGGACAGGGGGAGAACACACAAAATCCACACACACTCTGTAGGACAGGGGTAGAACACACAAACGCCACACTCACAAACACTCACTCTGCAGGACAGGGGGAGAACATACAAACTCCACACACACACTCTGTAGGACAGGGGGAGACACACAAACTCCACACACACTCACTCTGTAGGACAGGGGTCGAACACACAAACTCCACACACACACACCCACTCTGTAGGACAGGGGGAGAACAGACAAACTCCACACACTCACTCTGTAGGACAGGGGGAGAACACACAAACTCCACACACTCACTCACTCTGTAGGACAGGGGAAGAACACACAAACTCTATACACTCACTCAGTAGGACAGGGGGAGAACACAAACTCCACACACACATCTTCTTTGGTTCTTTCGGTAAAGTCACGTAGAATGAGAATAAAATAATAAATTGATCAAATAAAATAACACAATAATATTCTCACGACGTTTCATCCACACACACACTCTGTAGGACAGGGGTAGAACACACAAACTCCACACACACACTCACTCAGTAGGACAGGGGGAGAACACACAAACTCCACACACACACTCACTCTGCAGGACAGGGGGAGAACACACAAACGCCACACACTCACTCACTCTGTAGGACAGGGGGAGAACACACAAAATCCACACACACACACATTCACTCACTCTGCAGGACAGGGGGAGAACATACAAACTCCACAGAGAGAGGTGCCCTGGTCAGGAATCGAGCCCAGGCCCTTCTGCCTGCAAGGCACTAGTGTTGCAACTGCACCACCAGCTCCTCCTAAACCCTGCTTGTCCCCGGGATCACATCGCCATATTATTTTCATATTTGTTTAACATCTTCCATTTAGATCTCTCGCAGTGTGGTTGCATGCAAACGATTGGTGATGAGTTCGTGCCAACAAATGTACATCTCCCCCGAGGAATGCACAGAGTGATTTACCGAGACAAGTCAATCACGTGCAGAGATGCTGAACAGCCCAAACGATGTCTGTTACAACTTGCCCCACGTTTCTTGCCTAAAGGACTCGCAGAAGTGACATACAGCCCAGGCTGCTGGGATTTGACACGGGTAGACACAGACACGTGGATACACACACACACACGGGCACACACATGGCAGCAGACAAGGTACACACACAAACAAAGACCCCCGTATAGCCTTAACAGACTAGAGGAGGTGATGATATCACGACGGTATTTTGTGCCAGGCAAAGTGCACCTTGAGGCTACGTGAAGTGTCGAAGGCTCGCTGGCAGGTCACCAGACACAAGCAGGTGCCTTGGGTTGACCGAGATGACTTCCAAATGCAACCACCTGTGCCCTCGACTGTGTTTTATCCGCCCCGGTGTTCTGCTCGTTGTTGCAAGTGCTACTCCTCTGCCCTGCATTGTCGCTCCATCCTATGACCCAAAAGCATCCTTCACAAACCTCCAGAGGCCGATCTTGGCACTGCTGGTACCAGTCATAGGCAAGTCCAATCAGCTCCACATCCTCCCCTAAGGTCGACTCTGCCTCTAACGAGTACCCGGTGCCGTGTGCAAACATCGCCACCGGGGAGACAAAGGCGGCCGGGCGTAGTTGGCCGCCCACCCCCTCGTGCACCGTGCCGGCCTTGGCGAGCGCACGGGGGAACCTTTGTCTTTGTGCGTGCGGCGCAGGTGCGGGTTGAGATGAAGAGCGTTCGTGACGGCACCTGTCGGAGCCGCCCCTGGCACCGCCCGGAGGGAGCAGACTTCTCGGCAGGCTGCTGCTCTTGGACGGCGGCCTGCTGGCGGCGAGCAAACGGGGCAAGGGGTGGCGGAGACAAAGACGCCCCAGGTAGTCGCGCTGCGCTACGAACCCGGCGACGCGAGTTCGACTCCCGCTCGCGGCCAACACCGGTGACGATTACCTGCACCGGTCCTGGGCCTCCTCTAGGTCGACTCGGCCTCAAATGAGTACCCGGTGCGGTGCGTAAACATCGTCATTGGGGAGAAAAAAATCAGCCGGTTGTGGTGCTGGCCACCCACCCCCTCTCGTGTGTTGTGCCGGCCTTCATTGGGTGCTCGCTAACAGCACTTGCCCCAACAGTCTGTTAAGGCTATACGGAGGATCTTTGTCTTTGTGTGTCAAACGGGATGGATGTAACCGAACAGAACAGTGGAGACAATTTTCTTGAAAATGCAGAAACGCGGCAGCACACGCAACAGACCACGAGTACATAGGAGACACAGTAACAGTACAGACGAGCCCAGGCAGTATGGACAAGACTGGCAGGGCAAAAGATATAGATAGGGAGAAGGTACTCTATTAGACAGTTCAGACAAAACTGATTGCATGAATGGGACCAGACTTTGCAAATAAAAAATAATAATCTCTAAATTGGAAGCTGCACAAAGTTCTCGTTCACTCCGAGAGAGGGAGAGGGGAGAGCGTGAGGCGTGGGAAACCCGCACACGAGCGGCAAGGCAGCCGGCACCGGCGGCAACCACTGCCCGAGCTCTGTGGACCTATAGTCGGGATGTTTTTAGTCAACACCAGTGCTTGACAAGGCGCGGGAGGAAACGGAGCACGCCCGAGATGGGAACGAACGGAGATGAACCGGGTCAAGTCGGGTTCAAGAGACCTGAATGGGAATCCCCATTTGCAAGAGCGAACTTGGGTGGGTTTTACCAAATGACCAAAAAGGTAAAAACTAAAAACATAAAATAAAGTACAACGACACAGAAAACAGTGGTTAGAACATAAAAACATCTGCGTCACGCGGGGAAAGAGACAATCTTGCAAGTCGACGTCAAGTAACAAATTCCCTGCAGCACGAAGTTCGGCTCGGGCGGAGTGTTTGTAAACCGATCCGAGCCACCGGTTACGATGAAGTCACAGTCAGTTTAAAACATACCTAGGGTGACAATATTAGCAGTGCAGACGGCACGCCATTAACGATGTCTATACCGTCCCGTCGATGTTTTATTTGAATCGCGATCCCGAAAGGTGACGCCGCAGGGTGGCGGTGGCGGGCGTGCCGTCACCTGTGGAAGCGAGCACGTGTCACGGAGGGAGAGATGCGCGACTCCTGCCCGTCCGCCACGTCGGCCTCCGTTTCTGCGCTGCCCGCCACAAAAACGTGCCCACCACACACCAAACAAAGACCCCCCCCCTCGGTAAAGCCTCAACAGACTGTTGGGGCGAGTGTCGTTAGCGAGTAGCACCTGTGAAGGCTGGCACTGTGGCGCACGAGGGGGCGGTGTTTACTACAGGAAGGGAGGCCCAGGACCGGTTCAGATAATCATCACCGGTGTTGGTGGCCGTGAGCAGGAATCGAACTCGGGTCGCCGGATTAGTAGCGCAGCACTGCCAACCACCACCACCACACGCCCACCACCACCACCACACGCCCACCACCACCACCACACGCCCATCACCACCACCACACGCCCACCACCATCACCACACGCCCACCACCACACGCCCACCACCACCACCACACGCCCATCACCACCACCACACGCCCATCACCACCACCATCACCACACGCCCACCACCACACGCCCACCACCACCACCACCACCACACGCCCACCACCACCACCACACGCCCACCACCACCACCACACGCCCACCACCACCACCACACGCCCACCACCACCACCACCACACCACCACCACAGGCAGTAACGATTCAGCGTCGGTGTGCGGGTTAGTCCACGGAGTAACGATCCGGACAGATTTATGTTGTGTAGCCCTCCACCACCCGATAGAGAAAAAACGAAACAAATGACCATGTGCTGCACGAGCGCTGAATGGGACAATGGACTTGATCGTTTCAGTTCGCACGCCACCGAGTTAAAGAAGAATTCTCACAAGCAAATGAAGTAGCGATCGGGCACGACAGCTGAATTGTCTGTGCACGTGTGGGATTGAAACCGTGTCAGAGCCACCTCCGCCACGCGCGGCGTTCAACCACGTGCTCCACCTTCCCGCGAGCTGCACGGCGAGCCCGTGCGTCGCAACAGCACCGTGCCACACGGAGTCGCGCCCATTTCTGAAACGACTTATGAAAGAAACGTGGCCATTGTGAACCCCTCGAAGCGAGGGACACGCACCCAGGGCTTGAATCCGGGACGTCAGCGGTGCTGGCTCAGAGTCTCTGCATGGCCATTGTGAACACCTCAACAAACACCCTCTCACCTCTGTTCGCTTGTGGTCACTGTATTGGGTGGCTGCTGCAGCTGTTGCAGCTGCTGCTGCTGTTGCAGCTGCTGCTGTTGCAGCTTCTGCTGTTGTCCACCTGCGATTTTTTTCTGGGCGTCCTCCACTGAGTAGATGCTGCAGCAATCAAAAACAACCAGGCAGCGTCACCGCACGTTCACAAATTGCTCATCGCCGATGACGACGACGATGCTACTGCTGTTGCCACAGCTGCTGCTGTGAATGATGATGATGATGATGCGGCTGTTGATGAATGGACGACACAAATGCCGCTCCTCCGATTAGCACGGTTGGCAAGGAACGGTGCGAAAGAAGTTCAACATACGTACACGAGGATGATGATGCTAATGATGATGATATTTACCGCGTTGGAGCGCGTGAGCCTGCCTCATCGTCGGAGCTGTCGGTCGACTCGCACCTCTCCGGGAGAGATCGCTCCTCCGTGCTCCTGCTGTCGTCGTTCAGGGTTCAATTAATCACCGACATTTCAACGAAATAGAATCTCTCGATCGCACGCGCACGAGGCACCAGACGTCTCCGCTACCATCACGAAAGTTTCATAAACGTCGAGTTATCAAACCACAAACGGACCATCTCAATCGCCCTCTTCCAGTACCATTAATTCAATGGTTTGACCACGCTGGCTTCTTGAATCGGGTGCAACCACAACAAACAAAAAAACAAAAACACGAACAAGAAAAAACATCTTAAAGTGACTATGTGTGTAGAGTGAGTGAGTGGAGTTTGTATTCTCTTGCCCTGTTGTATAGAGTGAGTGAGTGGAGTTTGTATTCTCTTGCCCTGTTGTATAGAGTGAGTGGAGTTTGTATTCTCTTGCCCTGTTGTATAGAGTTAGTCAGTAGAGTTTGTATTCTCTTGCCCTGTTGTATAGAGTGAGTGGAGTTTGTATTCTCTTGCCCTGTTGTATAGAGTGAGTGGAGTTTGTATTCTCTTGCCCTGTTGTATAGAGTGAGTGGAGTTTGTATTCTCTTGCCCTGTTGTATAGAGTGAGTGGAGTTTGTATTCTCTGTCCCTGTTGTATAGAGTGAGTGGAGTTTGTATTATCTTGCCCTGTTGTATAGAGTGAGTGAAGTTTGTATTATCTTGCCCTGTTGTATAGAGTGAGTGGAGTTTGTATTCTCTTGCCCTGTTGTATAGAGTGAGTGGAGTTTGTATTCTCTTGCCCTGTTGTATAGAGTGAGTGAAGTTTGTATTATCTTGCCCTGTTGTATAGAGTGAGTGGAGTTTGTATTCTCTTGCCCTGTTGTATAGAGTGAGTGGAGTTTGTATTCTCTGTCCCTGTTGTATAGAGTGAGTGGAGTTTGTATTCTCTGTCCCTGTTGTATAGAGTGTGTGGAGTTTGTATTCTCTTGCCCTGTTTTATAGAGTGAGTGAGTGGAGTTTGTATTCTCTTGCCCTGTTGTATAGAGTGAGTGGAGTTTGTATTCTCTTGCCCTGTTGTATAGAGTGAGTGGAGTTTGTATTCTCTTGCCCTGTTGTATAGAGTGAGTGAGTGGAGTTTGTATTCTCTGTCCCTGTTGTATAGATTGAGTGAGTGGAGTTTGTATTCTCTGTCCCTGTTGTATAGAGTGAGTGAGTGGAGTTTGTATTCTCTGTCCCTGTTGTATAGAGTGAGTGGAGTTTGTATTCTCTCGCCCTGCTCTGCGTGGGGTTTCGCCTTGCGGGTTCTCTGGTTTCCTCCTCCCATAGCGAAACAAGACTACGTCGTGGCACCGGCTATTGGCCATTCATTCCAACAATTGGCCGAGTTAACCAGCCCAAGCAGGATTCGAACTCACGACCTTAGGATCGTGAGCCGCTCTCCCTTCCACGTGCCGTTGATTGCGTTGCAAAAACAAAAATTAGGGTTAAGTTTTCCCGAAGCTGTCGTGTTTAACAAAGGCGGAGGAGTTACCGGTGGGCGGGCAAAGTCAGCGATCTTCTTCCGAGGAGGTTCCTTCCATTTGAAGCGCTGAAAATAATAAGACGAATTTAAAACGTACAGGATTCACCGTAACATCAAGGTGATGACAAAATCAATCGGCTTTGCCTCCTTTTCGGCAATATTACAGGAGTGTGTGGTTTCAAAGGCAATGCGTTACATTTGTTATCGGAGCGAGTTTGTTTGCATGTTTCACCACTAGTCTGATGATGCGTGGTAGTTAATGCAGACTTAATGATGCCTTGCAATAGGCGTGTGCTTGTGTGGCATTTGAAACACCTTAACACATCTCCCGTGTTATCGACGGCAAGGGTAGAGATGATTTTTGTCCATAATAAAGGTTTTTGGGTTAGATCGCGTTTATTTATAAATGTGTCGTAACCCTCCACCACCCGACACAGCCAATCAGCAAAAAAAGGTGTCACGTTGACAAAAGACAAATAATTCACTACTTTAGCCGACCGGTGTGTTGAAGAGTGAATCCACATTTACAGTTTGAGTACGACGTTTCGCTGGTAAATACATCCAGCATCATCGGGCAATTCGCCAGAATGGTAAAGCCCTCGCTTGCTCCCGGTTTTATATAGAGCAGCAGGGTGACGTCATCACTTAACTCATATCAGGTGCAGTGATTAGAGGCGGAGGGGGGGGTATTGTAATTATATAATCGATTAGTAATCAGTCATTGGTTATGATTAGTAATGAGTTGTAGATTAGTAATTCTTTAATCAAAATGTAATGTGTATTATTTAATAATACGCTTCCAGGCCGCACTATGCCTGTTGCTGTCAGAGCGATTAAAGTTATTCTTGTTCCTCTCAATTTCAATGGATTCTATAATTAGTCTTTGCCAGTAATAATTAGTTTTACACACCACTGCAACATTGTCAAAATCAATTGAGTGTCCTTGTTGACAAGCATGTTCTGCCACTGCCAACAGTTGTGTTTGAGATAATTTAATATTTCTCTGATGTTCTTTTAGTCTTACACTGATGTTACGTCCCGTCTGCCCAATGTAGCAGCTGCCACATAAACAATTAATCCGATATACACCTTCTGTTGATAATTTAGGTAATGCGTCTTTAGTGCAAGATACTAGTTTTTGAATTTTGTGTACTGTACCAAATCTTACTGTAATGTTTTGCTTTTGCAAAACACGGGCTAATTTGTCAGTTACTCCTGAGATATATGGAATTTTTATTGTTTTAACAATCTGGTCGCTTTCAGCAGTATTGCTTTGCGATCGTGATTTGGCATTCAGTGCTCTGTTAATTTGAGCATTATTGTAGCCATTCTGTCGTAGTGTGTCTTTAACGTGCTTAATCTCTCTCACTAGACTCTCACCATCTGACACTGTTTTAGCCCGATGTATGAGCATCTTGATAAGAGAGGATTTCTGAGCTGGATGATGATGTGATTCTGCATTCAGATAGGCATCAGTGTGCGTTTGCTTTCTGTAAACGCTGTGTGTTATTTTACCGTTTAGGCCATGTCCAAGCAAAATATCTAGGAATGGGAGTGTGTTATTCACCTCCATTTCCATGGTGAACTGGATGGCCGGGTTTTGTGCATTGAGATGATTTAGAAAATCATTAAGTGTATCTTTACCATGTGGCCAGACAACCAAAGTGTCATCCACATATCTAAACCAAAAGGATGGTTTTAATGTGCTCGAGGCAAGTGCTCTTATTTCAAAGTTTTCCATGTACAAATTTGCTATAGCAGGGGATAAAGGAGAACCCATTGCTGCTCCTTCCTTTTGTTTAAAGAAATCCCCTCTCCATAAGAAGTAAGTGTTATTTAAACAATGGCCAGCAAGTTTCGGAATATCTTTTGGTAAACCGGTATTCTTTACTAGTGTATCAAGTAATTTAAGCGATTCGTCCACTGGAACCTTAGTGAATAGAGAAATCACATCAAAAATTACCAGAATATCATCAGGAGTAAGTTTAATATCTTTAATTACATTTTTGTGTCAACGGTATTGATAAAGTCAACTTGTCACTCGCCATCACATGGCCCTCGATGACGATTCGGAGAGTCGAGAGAGGGGGGGGGGCGACTTGGGGAGAGAGAGGGGGGGGGCGACTTGGTGAGAGAGGGGGGGGCGACTTGGTGTGAGAGAGGGGGGGGCGACTTGGTGAGAGAGGGGGGCGACTTGGTGAGAGAGGGGGGGGGCGACTTGGGGAGAGAGAGGGGGGGGGGCGACTTGGTGAGAGAGGGGGGGCGACTTGGTGTGAGAGAGGGGGGGGCGACTTGGTGAGAGAGGGGGGCGACTTGGTGAGAGAGGGGGGGGCGACTTGGGGAGAGAGAGAGGGGGGGGCGACTTGGTGAGAGGGGGGGGGCGACTTGGTGAGAGAGGGGGGGCGACTTGGTGAGAGAGGGGGGGGGCGACTTGGTGAGAGAGGGGGGGGCGACTTGGTGAGAGAGGGGGGGGCGACTTGGTGAGAGAGGGGGGGCGACTTGGTGAGAGAGGGGGGGCGACTTGGTGAGAGGGGGGGGGCGACTTGGTGAGAGAGGGGGGGGCGACTTGGGGAGAGAGAGAGGGGGGGCGACTTGGTGAGAGAGGGGGGGGGCGACTTGGTGAGAGAGGGGGGGGCGACTTGGGGAGAGAGAGAGGGGGGGGGACTTGGTGAGAGAGGGGGGGCGACTTGGTGAGAGAGGGGGGGGACTTGGGCGACTTGGGAGAGAGAGAGGGGGGGGGGACTTGGTGAGAGAGGGGGGGGCGACTTGGTGAGAGAGAGGGGGGGGCGACTTGGTGAGCGAGGGGCGGGGCGACTTGGTGAGAGAGAGGGGGGGGCGACTTAGGGAGAGAGGGGGGGGCGACTTAGGGAGAGAGGGGGGGGCGACTCGGAGGTGCCAGGTGAAGGAACCACAGAGGAGCAGGAAGGCAACAGCAGCAGCAGCAGCAGCGGTGATGACGTAGCCGATGTCTCAACACCAAGTACAAGCTTGGGCTAGGCAGTCCCTAGACCACAACAGCACACGGCAACCTCAATAATATTGCACCTTAACATTGAACTACCGATACACGGTTAAGCATCAATGTTGCAAATCGCATTCTCAAATGTGGTTTTATCCAGCACCACTCTTCTAAACGGACCGAGGAGACAGGGATCGATGTGGAGGGGTCAGATGTGGAGGAGGATCGTCTGCCTATTCATTTAGTGACTTCAACTGTCCCCAACATCGCTAACCATCGCCGTGCACCGGCAACAACAACAGCGACTCACGGCCCCCATTGTCATTCCACTGCTGGATGAAGGCCTTCCCGTGCCGTGTACAACCCTGCGCGTTATTTGACCATACTTCACCACGCTGGTCACAGTGCAGGGTTTGGCGAATCGAAGCTCGAAGTCTTCCGTTTCATCTCATCGACGCGAGGCGTTTCGTGTTTGAGAGTGGTAACGAGAGTTAATATTTAACTCGGATTGCTTCTCCATATAAATTCCTGTTCGAGTCGATTAAGATTCCAGATCTGAGAATTATTTTTTTTATTCGGTTTAACTGCCACGGGGCGGAGAGCATCAATCTGCCTGTAGCGAGAGAGTGCGGAACCCCCCTACCGTGTGCACCAGCGGGGGGGTCACGTGAAGGGCGTCTCAGAAGTCACTCTGCGATATCCGCTTCTGCGGGCCGTTCTCTCCTGAAGAGGGTCGCGCGAGGGATAACTTTATTTGCATATATGTGGTGAGTGTAGTGTGTTGAGTGTAGTGTGGTGAGTGTAGTGTGGTGAGTGTAGTGTGGTGAGTGTAGTGTGGTGAGCGTAGTGCGGCACGTGGTCTGTTGGGAGTATGTGTTGAGTGGAGATTGGTGAGTGTAGTGTGGTGAGTGTAGTGCAGCACGTGGTCTGTTGGGAGTATGTGTTGAGTGGAGATTGGTGAGTCTAGTGTGGCGAGTGTAGTGCGGCACGTGGTCTGTTGGGAGTGTGTTGAGTGGAGATTGGTGAGTGTAGTGTGGTGAGTGTAGTGCGGCACGTGGTCTGTTGGGAGTGTGTGTTGAGTGGAGATTGGTGAGTGTAGTGTGGTGAGTGTAGTGCGGCACGTGGTCTGTTGGGAGTGTGTGTTGAGTGGAGATTGGTGAGTGTAGTGTGGTGAGTGTATTGCGACGTGACGGGGCGACGTGACGGGGCGACGTGACGGGGCGACGTGACGGGGCGACGTGACGGGGCGACGTGACGGGGCGGTGTGGCCGAGCGGTGTGGCCGGGCGGTGTGTTGTACCCGTCGGTGTTGTCGTATCCGCCCATGTTGCGGATCCAGCTGCGGTCGTCGCGGACCGACGCGCGGATCGCCGTGTCCTTGAGCACGTCGGAGCGCTCCACCCGGCCCTCTCCTCCACCGCCGCCGCCGCCGCCTGCAGCACGCGGGACGCCCCGGCCACGACGTTCACCGGCACGCACGAAACCCTCGGAAAGGGACTTCGGGCAAGTCCTCGCTTAACGCGTGACCGCTGTTCACGCGACAGGGCGTTTCCGCTGTTCACGGTTCTACCACGAGGGAACGCTTTCCACACAACGCGGATCTCGCACGTCATCACAACGCGGATCTCGCACGTCGTCACAACGCGTGAGCAAGTTCCGGAGTGTTGTTATAAAGTGGAGTGGAACTTTAACGTGGCGGCGGCGGCGTACTCCCAGTTACTTGTCCCGCCTTCTCACTGCGCGGTGTGCGTGGTATCTCGCCGCACTTTTCAGGAACGCATCCACCGTGTTGAACGAGGACTTGGTGCACGAGGAATCAGACTCTGCGTTAAGAGTCGAGAGCCAGGCCACAGTCGCTCGCTCACTTGATGCCTTAGCTCACCCATTTGCTCAACGACTCAACGCGTACTCAGTCGGTCAGTCACTTACTCGATCCCTGATTCGCTTGCTCAACATCTCACTCACTCGATCACTCAGTTACTCACTCAAACACTCAGTTACTCACTCGGCTACTCGGACAGTCAGTTACTCGCTAACTATTGCCCAGTTGACTTCACTTGTCCACCGACTCGCTCAGTTACGCGGTCACACGCTCTGTACACACGCACACATTCCTGGACAAATATGTCACAGCACCAGACACAGACGGCAGCAAGCACAGATCACAATCGCCAACTACACCCATGCAGTGACTGACGCTTCCTTCTCAAGCCAGCCCCGCCGAGTCCTCGTGGACATTCCACATTCAAGTCGGACGCTGTTGACTCACAACAAAGTGTGTGCCCATTTCTTTTATTTTTTATCAACTGTGGAGTGACGATTGTGGCGATCATTGTTTGATACAGAGACACGTACAGTACACGTACACACACACACAATGGTGCCCCCGTGTGTAGCCCGCACCGGATTTTGGGGCAAGTGCTGTCAGCGATAATAACACTCCAGGCTCGCTCACGCGATGCCTAGCCTGGCACAAGCTGCGTTGGCTTCCAGTTGCTGAACGAAAATACCATCACGAGGTCGCGCACTCATTACACACAAAGTGCTTGCCGCAAATGAACCACAAGACCTCGATGATCTCGTCAAGGAACAAACCATCATCACACGAACTCCGCTCATCCTCGCAGCAGTAGCGGCTATTGGCTCAGCCATCAAACAAAGACGGTCACCGCATCCATCGCACGCGCATTCGGATGCACTTCTGCGGCCGTCTGGAACGCTCTTTCTTCCGATATTAGGGAGCTGTGCATTTAAATCTAGATTGAAAACTAATTTCTTAAGAACTGCTTTTTGTGTTTAGTTTGTTGTCCTTCCCCCGCATCTCCGATTAGCATGGTTGTATACGTACAGTGCGAAAGAAGTTTAACATACACATACGTACCCGAGGTCAGCAGGCCGATAGTCGAGCGGGGTCTTTGGGACCTGGGCACGTCTTTACGAAGCTGCACATCCATCGCTTGCTCGCTTGATCCAAACGAATAGAGAAAAGAGATGCACCTGCTAAAACAATATCAAAGGTCACGGTCAATAGGTCAGCATGGCCAGCGTGTCATTTAATTCTTGCCACAACCACAGAAGAAAATCTCAGATGTCGGGTACGTCAACTCTATGTATGTTGAACAGATGGTGGTGATGATGATACAGATGGTGGTGGTGGAGATGGTGTATGTTGAACTTCTTTCGCACCGTACGTAGCCAACCGTGCTAATCGGAGGTGCTCACATTTAGTGAACTCCTTTATTGAGCTCACCGAACTATCCTCAGTAGATCTAAGGAAAGATATCTCTATCCTCCTGTTTACACAACAATATTTTTTTAAAATCAAAATTTGTATCACCTGAAGGGGAAATTTTCGCCTTCCGTACTCTAGCCCAGATCTTTGAGATTCAAGTCCTTGACTGATTTTCTATTGAAAAACATGTATCCTCGTGGCGTTCAGTTGGTGCTCACGGGGTTTTAAATTAAATACTAAAAAATATAATAATAACAGCCTGGCTGGGCACTGGAACGCTGTTCCTGGACAGTTTAAGGGCCTATTCTTTGTTTTTTTCGGTAAAGTCACGTAGAAATAAGAAAAATTACATAATAGCTATTATGTAATTTTTATTATTTCTTATTTCTACGCGACTTTACCGAAAAAAACAAAGAATAATTCCTGCAGTCACGAAAGTTCCAAATTCAAGTTTAAGGGCCATTAGTGAGATTTTACGAATTTTGTTTTATATTAATTATTTTTAATAGTACAGTATATTTGTTGTTTGTATCTAAATTGTGATTCTTGAAATACGTTATTGTGAGTTTAACACGTAGGCTTTCGCGACCAATATCATCCATAAGAGGTTTTTGGGTTAGATGGACATGTTTATATATTTCCGCGATCTAACCCAAAAAAACCTCTATGATGGACGTCATTGTTAGTTTTAATGCGAGGTTAGTTTTAATGCGAGGTTAGTTTTAATGCGAGGTTAGTTTTAATGCGAGGTTAGTTTTAATGCGAGGTTAGTTTTAATGCGAGGTTAGTTTTAATGCGAGGTTAATTTTAATGCGAGGTTAGTTTTAATGCGAGGTTAGTTTTAATGCGAGGTTAGTTTTAATGCGAGGTTAGTTTTAATGCGAGGTTAGTTTTAATGCGAGGTTAGTTTTAATGCGAGGTTAGTTTTAATGCGAGGTTGCTCTCCAGTTGCCTGGGGTGGAAAAGTGGGCGAGCTTTTTCCCAATCCTGGCAAATTTCCCTCAACGTCATCGATTTATTTTTTAAAACGTTGTTGTTAACCAGCTAAGGCCCACTGAGCTATAATAGCTCTTGTTCAGAAGCAACCTGGCTATCACAAATGATAGCCCCACGAATTGGCTTATCACATGGACATTTATAGCAGCCATATACTCAAAACGCCACGTTCCTAAATGTGGAGGGAAAAAAACGGAGGACTCGGAGAAAAATCCACGCGACCACGAGGAGTGAGAGACACGCAAACTCCAAATATACAGCAGCAGCAGGCGTCAGGGTCGGGATCGAACCCACAACCTCCTGTGTACCAGGCGAGGTAGTTAACATCTCCTAGCCACAGAGAGAGAGACACGCAAACTCCAAATATAAAGCAGCAGCAGGCTTCAGGGTCGGGATCGAACCCACAACCTCTTGTGTACTAGGCGAGGTAGTTAACATATCCTAGCCACAGAGAGAGAGACACACAAACTCCAAATATAAAGCAGCAGGCTTCAGGGTCGGGATCGAACCCACAACCTCCTGTGTACCAGGGGCAGTAGTTAACATTTCCTAGCCACCATGGTGGCAAGGAGGGAAAAGGACCGAACACAGGATGGGGCAACAGAGACGGAGGGACAGAGAGAGAGGATTGTGAACGCCGGTGAACGAGGAGGGGACAGAGAGGTGGGAGAGGCGAGACGAAGCGAGGCAAGGCCATCGAGGAGGCCTCGTGACGATCACAGCTACCCAGGGGTGCAACTACTTATTTCAACGAGGGTGGGGGGGGTTATGCAAGATGGCATAGAGATACCAAGCCATTGCAGCCGAGAACCTAGGTTCAACCCCTAGATCTGAGTATCTCTTCAATAGGAAGGTTGATAATGGCCTGCTCGGAAACACTCAGCCAGCACCGCTGAGCCGCTGGGTTTAAATCCCCTTTCCAGACACGCGTGATTGAACCGGACCCTCAAGCGAGGCGAGCTGTATGGACGTGTGTATATGTTGAATCTCTTTCGCACCGTACGTAGCCAACCGCGCTAAATCGGGAGATAAGGGGGAATGACAACAAACTAAACACAAAAAAATCGGTTCTGATTGAATGGGTTTTCAATGTGGATGATTTAAAAGCACACAGCTCCCAGTGGCTTCCTAATATCGCAACGAAGAGCGTTCCAGACGGCCACGGAAGCGCATCCAAATGCGCGCGATTGCAGTGAACGTCTTTGTTCGAGATCCGACCGTGGGTCCCCCCCCTCCTTTCTTCAGACTCATGTTTACTAAAATAGCTACGGGTGTTACACCATATACAATAATAAATAGGATATAACTCGATCAGTATTATATATCTTAGTTTTTTCGGTAAAGTCACGTTGAAGAGAAACAACAAAATAATAAAATATATATAAAACAATTAAAAAATTCTCACGACGTTTCGACCATAACTCAAACGGTCATCATCAGGTGTGTTGGTTCGTATAAATTTATTTTTAAACGGCGCATTTATTTATTTATAAAAAACGTTAGCGCCACGCGCAACGATTTCGCAGTTTACCCAGGACTAGTCCATCTATATTCTGAAAAGAGGAGGGGGGAGACGAAATTTTTTATAATGTATGCTGTCTGAAAGCCACTGTAAGCGTGAACAATCAATTAAGACCTGAAATGGTTTATCAAATCTTTCCAATGATTGCTAAGATAGAATCCATCTTCTCGGTTGAAATTGTCTCTGTGCTTGTATATGTGGATAGCCTCATGAACGAATCTCTCATGGAAGCCAGATGGCCTTCAAAGAACCTCCGTCTTGGAAAAGTCAATGGCATGTGAGCCCACTGAATTAGAACAATGATCTGCCACGGCCGAGGTGTTGGTCCTACCGTGTTTAAGGTCTGCTTTGTGTTCACGAATGCGGTCCGAGACATGGCGTTTGGTTTCTCCAATGTAACTACTACCACAGAGGCAACTTAGTTTGTAGACACCAGGGTATTGTATGTCCGGAATCACATCTTTTACAGACGTAACCAGATCACGGATCTGGTTCCGTATGTGATTCCGGACATACAATACCCTGGTGTCTACAAACTAAGTTGCCTCTGTGGTAGTAGTTACATTGGAGAAACCAAACGCCATGTCTCGGACCGCATTCGTGAACACAAAGCAGACCTTAAACACGGTAGGACCAACACCTCGGCCGTGGCAGATCATTGTTCTAATTCAGTGGGCTCACATGCCATTGACTTTTCCAAGACGGAGGTTCTTTGTAAGCCATCTGGCTTCCATGAGAAATTCGTTCATGAGGCTATCCACATATACAAGCACAGAGACAATTTCAACCGAGAAGATGGATTCTATCTTAGCAATCATTGGAAAGATTTGATAAACCATTTCAGGTCTTAATTGATTGTTCATGCTTACAGTGGCTTTCAGACAGCATACATTATAAAAAATTTCGTCTCCCCCCTCCTCTTTTCAGAATATAGATGGACTAGTCCTGGGTAAACTGCCAAATCGTTGCGCGTGGCGCTAACGTTTTTATAAATAAATAAATGTGCCGTTTAAAAATAAATTTATACGAACCAACACACCTGAAGACGACCGTTTGAGTTATGGTCGAAACGTCGTGAGAATTTTTTTTATTGTTTTATATATATTTTATTATTTTGTTGTTTCTCTTCAACGTGACTTTACCGAAAAAACTAAGAATATGAATTACTGCAGTCACGAAAGCTTTAAATCAAAATTTCGATCAGTATTAGTTTAGTTGCACCTTGTATTGGGTCTAGAGGGAGACAGTCTCACGGTGAGTGTTAATAATAATAAATAAATAAAACTATGTAAAGGTAACAACACTCACAACAAACTTCATGCCGGCCCCACGCGTCACGGATGAGCTCCAAGGGAGTGGTGGTGGTGGTGGTGGAGCACGTGACTTGACGCTGCTGCTGCGGCTCTGTTGATGCGGTGATTGCCTGGTGCGCGTTCACCATCGGCATTGGTCCATAGTAGACCGCAGGTAATTTTTTTATATTAAAAAAACACGTTTTTATTTTTATCATTTTTCAAGTGAATACAAATGTACTTTCATTTATTATTTATTCATTAATTTGATTAAACTCGTAAATAAAAAATAAACATTAATTAATAACAAATGTTTACATTTTGTTAACTTACGTATCTGTTGATTCGGGGGTTCCCCTCGTGGTCGACTGGGCCCCTATACGTTGCATAAAGTTGCCACCCAGCCACACACACCACCCCCTCCCCCCTCATAGTTGTGCTCCTGGCACCACCACAACAACAACAACCAGCAGCAGCAGTCACACTGAGTGACGGGCCACCACCCCCATCGTTACACCCCTGGGACCACCACCACAACAATAACAACCAGCAGCAGCCACACTGAGTGACGGGCCACCACCCCCATCGTTACACCCCTGACACCACCACCACCACAACAACAACCAGCAGCAGCCACACTGAGTGACGGGCCACCACCCCCTCCCCCCTCATAGTAGTGCCCCTGGCATCACCACAACAACAACAACAACCACGCCTCGGCGTGTACCCCGATACACGCCCGCCTCTGCGTCTACCGCTAGTTTACGGACAACGGGCGGGGCATCCACATTAGAAGGTCAACAGATCCATCGATTCCCGCCTGGGGCGCCACTCTGTGTGTGTGTGGAGTTTGTGTGTTCTGTGTGTGTGTGGAGTTTGTGTGTGTGTGTGGCGTTTGTGTGTTCTCTGTGTGTGTGGCGTTTGTGTGTTCTCTGTGTGTGTGTGGAGTTTGTGTGTGTGGAGTTTGTGTGTTCTGTGTGTGTATTCTCTGTGTGTTTAGTTTGTGTGTTCTCTGTGTGTGTGTGGAGTTTGTGTGTTCTCTGTGTGTGTGGAGTTTGTGTGTTCTGTGTGTGTGTGTGGCGTTTGTGTGTTCTCTGTGTGTGTGTGGCGTTTGTGTGTTCTCTGTGTGTGTGTTCTCTGTGTGTTTAGTTTGTGTGTTCTCTGTGTGTGTGGAGTTTGTGTGTTCTCTGTGTGTGTGGAGTTTGTGTGTTCTCTGTGTGTGTGTGGAGTTTGTGTGTTCTCTGTGTGTGTGAAGTTTGTGTGTTCTGTGTGTGTGTGGAGTTTGTGTGTTCTCTGTGTGTGTGTGGAGTTTGTGTGTTCTGTGTGTGTGTGGAGTTTGTGTGTTCTCTGTGTGTGTGGAGTTTGTGTGTTCTGTGTGTGTGTGTTCTGTGTGTGTGTGGAGTTTGTGTGTTCTCTGTGTGTGTGTGGAGTTTGTGTGTTCTCTGTGTGTGTGTGGAGTTTGTGTGTTCTCTGTGTGTGTGGAGTTTGTGTGTGTGTGTGGAGTTTGTGTGTTCTGTGTGTGTGTTCTCTGTGTGTGTGTTCTCTGTGTGTGTGTGGAGTTTGTGTGTTCTCTGTGTGTGTGTGGAGTTTGTGTGTTCTGTGTGTGTGTGTGGAGTTTGTGTGTTCTGTGTGTGTGTTCTGTGTGTGTGTGTGGAGTTTGTGTGTTCTCTGTGTGTGTGGAGTTTGTGTGTTCTCTGTGTGTGTGCGTGGAGTTTGTGTGTTCTCTGTGTGTGTGTGGAGTTTGTGTGTTCTCTGTGTGTGTGTGGAGTTTGTGTTATCTGCCCTCCTTTGCTCTGCAGAGGTTTCCTTCGGCTTCCTCGCACGTGAAGCCAACGCCCATCACTTACCATGGGAATTCATGGCCACACATCCCGATTGGAAACTCATTGAGGCTGTGTCTGATAAAGAGATTTGTTGTTATTACATTTGTAAGTGTCATTTTTACTACACACAATTCGGCTAATACGTAGTTTGTCGTGATTTCAGCATCATCATCACTGTCATCACTGTCATCACTAATTGCATCACAAGAATAATCACCGTCATCATTGCCACGATCACCATCATTGTCGCTGTCATCACCATCATCATCACGATCATCATCATCATCACGATCACCATCATCATCACGATTACCATCACCGTCATCATCATCATGTGCAATTCACACCATCAACAGCAACACCACATTGTCAAAATAAAGCGGTGTACTGCAGTAGCGGTATGATGACTGGTGTGGCGGCTTGTCATAGCAATGTCGAATTTCCACCGCTGCCTTGTGTGGTCGTAAATACTCGAGTGATTTTAAGAGCTTGCTGAGAAGGAAGCCGCCTTGGTTCTCAGTTTTATCGACCCGTTGGGGCATGTGTAACACGCGGAACACAGTTTATTATTCATTGTTACGACGCCTGCTCGCTAACACAAGAAGGCATCACCAAACCTAGGGACTCAGAGAGGGGTCCCTGACAATTTCAATTTGCAAGTCGGGTGCGACGATTCCCCTGCTGCGTGGACCCTCCGACATCAAAGTAAACACGTGCGGCGTACATTTGTTTTCTCTCACAAGATTTGGTCCAAAACTTGGCCCATGACGCCTCGACTCTTGCGAATGACGTCGCCGAGTCTTTAACGTCCTTTGTGTTTGCCGCTGGCTGCGAGTGCGCCCCGCGGTATGAAGCCGCAAACCTCTGCAGGCAACTCGCGACGAACGTGCGACCACCTTGACGCCCTCTGAAGGCTCAGGGGGCAAGTGCCGTTAGCGAGTATCACCCATCAAGGGAGGTGGTGTGGCCTGGGGAAAAAACCACGCGCGGCCGCCTTTGTCTCCCCAGTGCTGACGTCTACTCGTGCCGGTGGCGCCAGGGTTCGTGGCGAGGCGCGCTAGCCGCGACCCCCCACCCCGTAGCAGCCTTCAACAGGCGACCCCCCCACACAAGGACCCCCCCCCCCTTTAGCAGCATTCAACAGGCGACCGCTCCCCAGACACTGACACGTGCGCACACCCCGAGACACGCACAGGCACCATCGCAGCCGATTGCACACCTGGACTTTGTGACGCGTGTACAAGAATGCCTTTTGCTTTTAACGGAGTTGCGGAGCACACGCGCGCACACCAGGCTTAAAGCCACAACACGCCGAGCGGCCGGCAAACAAACAGCACCGTCGACGCAAGGTAACAGGCAAGAAAGGAGGAGGGTTAACGCGCTTGTCGTTGTACGTACGCCCTGGGGTCGTCGTGTGGCTGTGGAGCGGAGCGTCCTCGCCGTGGCCCTAGCGGACTTCGGGGCTCGTCCTCCGCTCGAGACCCGCGCTGTCAGGGACAACGCCTTGGCTAGGGCGCCGCTGTGAGCGTTGCGCAAGCAGCAGTTATTCCAGAAATGTGAGGTTATTTTCCAACTCCACCCACCCGCCCGCCCGCTCACCTCGCCGCCCGCGCTCCCAACTAATCCGCTCACTCATCTACATACCAACTTACCCACCCGCATATCCACTCATCTACATACCAACTCACCCACCTCGCCCACCCGCATATCCACCCGCACACACACACTCATCGACACACCCAATTACCTGCTCACTCATCTGTCTACCCACCCACCTACCTGCTCACTCGCTGACATGTTCACTAATTCTCCTACCCACTCACCCACCTAGCCATCCACCTATCTACTTGCCCACTAACTCGCTCACTCATCTATCTACCCACTAACACAATCACTCACTCATCACCTACCCACCCACTAACGCACCAAACCACCCACCCGCTTACGCACTCATTTGCTCACTCGTCTACCTAACCACCCACGATCCCACCTACCCACTCACCCACTAACACATTCACTCACCTACCCACCAATCCACTCGCACCGTTCGCTCACTCACCCACCCACTTAATCACCAACTCACTCACCCACTAAACTCATTGACCCACCCATTCACTTACCTGCTCACCCACTAAATCCGCCCGCTCTCTCTCCACATACCCTCTCGGAATCGGTGTCCGTGCAAAAACCGGTAACCGCATGAAAATACCGGAAAAATACAGTACCAGGTCTGCCACAAATAGAAGAAAAGGAGTCTAACAATAACAAACGTGATGCGTGGAATCTTTTAGCTTGAACACAACGGGGGAGCAGTGGCGAGCCCCGGACTTGGAACGCAGAAGTCGCCCGGTTCGAGTCCATCTCCAGGCACAGAAAGTTGAAACAATGGGGGGCGAGTTTCTCAAATCGCCGCCCGCCCGCCATCCTCTTGAGCAGTGCTTCTTAACTCTTACCGCAGCCTTACACCACTTTGTTTCTCGGTCGTTAAACAACAATGGCATTGCTAATGAACACACACAGGGGTTGACGAAACAAAGTAAGTTGGGCTACGTGCCAGTGCTTCATCGGTGTTGCGATGATTTGCCGTCTAAAATTAAAACATCTGGCCGCGTCTCGCATCCCTAGAAAGGGCCCCGGGGGGGGAGCGAGAGCACCCCAGGGGGGGGGGGGGGGGAGCGAGATGCACCCCGGGGGGGGGGGCGGTGCGAGATGCACCCCAGGGGGGGGGGGGAGCGAGATGCACCCCAGGGGGGGGGGCGGTGCGAGATGCACCCCGGGGGGGGGGGGGGGGCGGTGCGAGATGCTCCCCAGAACGGCTGCTCTCGATGCTCCTCCTCCCTGTGCTGTGAGCGAGCACAGCTTGATGGGCTGCACCTTTTGCCTCTTAGCGGAGAAGCGAGTAAGGGGGGACGAGTGATGGACCCCGCGACAAAGTAACCAACCCCACAACTGCATAGGCGCTGCTACTCGCTAACAGCACTTGCCCCAACAGTCTGTTACAGGCTACATGGGGGATCTCTATCTTGTTAAGTGTTGGCTCGGCCATCCCTAATTGACGACGACGTAAAGGCGATTGCGAGCGACAGCTCACAGCTCTGGCAGTAGGGGCCCAGAGATCGCTGGGCCACTACGCGGGGTTGGGGATCTTCGTCTTTTTGTGTTCACGGGCGCGTGCAGCGTTTTTGAACGCGGCTCCATTGGGGTCTTGACGAGGGAGTTCAGGTGGGGGTGGTGGTACACGTGGGTGGTGGTGGTACACGTGGGCGGTGGTGGTACACGTGGGCGGTGGTGGTACACGTGGGCGGTGGTGGTACACGTGGGCGGTGGTGGTACACGTGGGCGGTGGTGGTGCACGTGGGCGGTGGTGGTACACGTGGGCGGTGGTGGTGCACGTGGGCGGTGGTGGTACACGTGGGCGGTGGTGGTACACGTGGGCGGTGGTGGTACACGTGGGCGGTGGTGGTACACGTGGGCGGTGGTGGTGCACGTGGGCGGTGGTGGTGCACGTGGGCGGTGGTGGTACACGTGGGCGGTGGTGGTACACGTGGGCGGTGGTGGTGCACGTGGGTGGTGGTGGTGCACGTGGGCGGTGGTGGTACACGTGGGCGGTGGTGGTACACGTGGGCGGTGGTGGTGCACGTGGGCGGTGGTGGTACACGTGGGCGGTGGTGGTACACGTGGGCGGTGGTGGTACACGTGGGCGGTGGTGGTACACGTGGGCGGTGGTGGTACACGTGGGCGGTGGTGGTACACGTGGGCGGTGGTGGTACACGTGGGCGGTGGTGGTACACGTGGGCGGTGGTGGTACACGTGGGCGGTGGTGGTACACGTGGGCGGTGGTGGTGCACGTGGGCGGTGGTGGTACACGTGGCGGACTCCGCATGTCTGCACAGCAGCGGCTCTTCACCTGGGGTGCATCTCGCCACCCCCTGCGAGAGACACGGCCAGGTGTTTTTTTCGAATGTAAATCGAAAATACAAATTAAGCGCGGGCACGTCAGTAACAACTACTGTACTCTTTGGTTCTTTCGGTAAAGTCACGTAGATAGGAAAATAAATAATAGATCACGACGTTTCGATCGCAACAGCAAGCAATTGTCTTCAGGTGAGAGAGAGAAGCATGCCGTTGTGACGAGGCATTGTATGATCCAGGAGGGGCGAGAGGCTGGGGGTGACATTCACAGAGGGCTTAGGGGAGAGAGAGAAGAAAGGGCGCCTTTGTGTCCCCAGTGCCGATAGCGGGTACTCATTTAAGGCTGAGTCGACCTCGCGGACGCCCAGAAACGGTACATATAGTCACATACAAAATACTCGCTCTTAATGGTACGCACACACAAACACAGGTATGCACACACACAGGCATGCACACACACACAGGTATACACACACAGGTATGCACACACACACACAGGTATGTACACACACACAGGTATGTACACACACAGGTATACACACACACAGGTATGCACACACACACAGGTATGCACACACAACAACAACAACCGCCATTCGCCACTAAGTGGCGGTGACGTCACCACGACGCTTGTGCCAGGCTATGTGCACCCTGAGGCCACGTGAAGTGTCGAACGCCCGCTGGCAGGAGGTCATGGGGCAGACCCAGGTGCCACGGGTCGACTGACTGAGATGACTGGCTGATGCACCACCTGTGCCCCCTACTGTGCCAACCTGCTGTGCTTTAGCCACCCGGCGCTCCGCTCGTTCTGAGCGTCGCTCCTCCGCCCTCCGTTGTTGTTGGAGGGCGATTGCCTCCAACTGCCCAGTAGCATCCTTCACGAGCCTCCTCCACAGAGGCCGATCTTGACACCGCTGGTACTAGTCATCGGCAAGTCCACTCAGCTCCACGTCCTCCTGTACCACATCACTCCATCTCTTCTCTAGCCCGTGCCGCGCCCGCTTAGCCCCCTCAATCCGGCCAAACAAAAGCTGTTTCGGCATGCGGTGGCTGGGCATGCGGGCTACATGACCCAGCCATCGCAGTCTTGCCTGCCGGAGGAGCTCACCGATGGGACCCTGCCCAGATCTTTCAAGGATTTGTGAGCTCCTGACACAATCCAGTCTGGTTAAACCCAGGATGGATCGTAGGCAGGCCAGCCTAAATGTTTCTAACCGGCGAAGATGTTCCATTAGGGGGGTCCACGTTTCGCAAGCGTAGAGAAGGGAGGGAATGACCGTGGCCGAGAAGACCTGAAGCTTAGTGCGGAGCGAGAGACCAGGTAGCTTCCACACAGCGTTACGCAACCGATGAAAAGATATTGCCGCTCGACTGATTCGGAGTGAGACCTCTGCTGTTAAACTGGAGCCAGTCATAAGCACACTGCCCAGGTATGGGAAACTCTCCACTCTCTCCACAACTGCCCCATAACCGATTGGGAGTTGTGGGGGTGGAGTGTCCGATGGTACAAAATACCCAGGCAGGTGCTTAGTTTTGGTGGGGCTGATGGTAAGGCCCCACCTCTTAGTGGCACGCTCCAGTCTCAGCAGCAGCATCTCCAACTCCTCCTCTGACTGAGCAGCTATTACCAAATCATCAGCATACATAACGTGGTTGAGCAATAGGGAGCCATCCCTTGACCGCACCCGGGCATCGATTAGCCTCCCATTATATCTGTACCATATGGAGATTCCCCCGGTACAGCTATTGAAGGCTTCACGAACTACGTGGTCAAAATAGATGTTAAATAATGTGGGAGCCAGAGGACATCCCTGTCGCACCCCGAGGTGTACAGGGAATGGCTCTGACTCCCGGCCACGTAGTTTTACCCGGGCCCGCTCACCATCATGAAGGTCCTTAATGATCGTGAGCAGAGGGTCAGGTACTCCAAAAGCACGAAGAACGACCCAGAGCCCAGGCCTACTGATGGTATCATAGGCCTTGACCAGGTCAATAAAGCAGAGATGTAGGTCTTGTTGGAATTCCCTACACCTCTGCTGTAGCAGACGGACAGAAAATATGGCATCTGTGCAGGACCGCCCTTTCTTGAAACCGCATTGGGGCTCCGCAAGCCTCTCCTCAGCGTGCCTGGCAAGGCGATGCTGAATAATCCTTGCCAGGACCTTTCCCGGCACACTGAGGAGTGAGATGCCCCTGTAGTTGTTACATTCTGTGCGGTCCCCCTTCTTAAAAAGGGGGACCACCAGGGCATCCTTCCAATCCTGCGGAACCCGTCCAGTGGTCCAGACTGTTGTTATGATGTCATATAGGGCAGTCTGTGCACAAACGCCACCCTCCCTCAGCATTTCGCTAGGGAGATCATCTCTGCCCGCTGCCTTTCCTGGTCTCAGACTCCGGATCGCCTTCAATACTTCCTCAGCAGATGGCACCTCAGCCAGCCACTCACAGGGGGTGACTTCTTCCAATATTTGAGGCACCGCAGCCACAGCAGGGTCATCCTCACTTTTTGCCACGATGTTTTCCTGGCTGAGGGATTTTCCCTCCGCCAGGACCTCACAGAAATGCTCAGCAAATCTGCGAATCTGTTCCTGGGGGTCGGAGATTGGATCACCGTTTTTCCCCTAATGATGGTAATAGGTGTGGCGCTGCAGGTTACTTTTTTGATGGAGTTAAATAGAG